TTCTTCAAAAGAACGGGCGAAACAAGGATGAATAACATGGCCAGCCCAGCTGGAGAGCAGTCAAGTAGGCTCTGTCAAATTTCGCAAGGAACCTGCAGCCCACCTGGCTGGCCCCCCGCCCCGACCGACCAGCTTATCATTGTAAGAGTAGAAAACTTGACAAGTGCAAGAAACGCTGCTTTTGTAATGAATTCATTCAGAGTGTTGACGACCAAAGTTTTTCTCTCGAAAAGTTTTCAAAACAGGACAGAATAAAAGTGAAAAAGAAGAAGAGAATACAATTGTACGTGTGCAAGCGATGCTGCTCAAGGATCCTCGTCCTGCCACATTTTCCTTGGCTAAATATTCTGTGCGCCGCAGGCCTAAACCAGCGCCACGAGCTGTCAATCTTTTTCTCTCTCTCTCTCTCTATGCCTCTCTCCCTCCCTCCCCCTCTCTCTCTTTCTCACGCGCGTTCTTTCTGTCTGGCCATCTGGTGCTCTGTTATTGTCCACTAAATTAAATGTAAATTAATGCAAATTACACGAAATTACTGCGGGCCACACAATGCAACAACTGTAACAACTGCAGCAGCAGCCGCTGAATGCAGTTGCTCTGCAGCCCCCAACCGATGGGCTGCATCAAGAGATAAAAGACTGTCGCTTTGTCTATTATTTTAAATTGGCTGCGCAAATTTGCGGCATCGCAAAAGTAATTAGCGGCCGCTGGAACTGTGCCGCTGATAAGTCCACAGAATCCACAATCCGAAACAGCAACAACAAAAGTGAGCCATCGATCAGGTGGAGGCAACTACTTGAATACGATGCTAGTCATATCGCTAGAGTATGCAAAACAGGGAAAATATATCATTTCTTAATGTAGTGAGAATTTGAATTCGTAACGGAATAATATTGAGTAACGAATATTAAACAGTATTTAACAGATTTACAGTTTTTGCTTGTTCAAAAGTAAGACTTGTGCTGGAAAATATATTTAAATATAAATATATTTGTATATACCTCGATATATTTCTATATGATTCTCCCTATATTTATATATATTTTTGTATTGCTATAGTCTTCTACATATTTCGATAGATTTCTACATATTTCTATACAATTTTTCTGCGCATTCTATATAATTATCTCCAAATATTATCATGTGTCAACATTTTTCTATATATCTCTATATATTTCGATATATTTGTCATTGGGTCAATTCATTATTGTATCTTCTTCTTAACAAATTACTTCTAGTCGAAGATTTAACATTAAATATTATTAAATCCTTCCAGTGAGATATTCAAATAGATTAAACGGAGTAATTTCTATAGAAAAACTATAGAAAAGAAAAGCCATTAAAAATACATTAAAATACACTTCAGAAATTTTTAAGTAAAGAACTGGACTTGACTTGGTTTCTTGAAGATAAAAAAAATACAAAATGACCAAAATTGCACAAAATGAAATCCATATTTAAGTGAAAATTTCTTCACATAAAACCTGAGAAAATAACCAATTACCGTTTGTATATGGAGCTGCATTGAAATGCGATTTATTTTCACTTAACTGTTAAATTTCAACAATGCTTGATAAATGAGCTACACATCTCAAGAACTCAACAACCGAATATATGTAGCTGGGGAAAACTTCATTTTCTTTTTCTTGCAACTCGAGTAGGGAAAGCTCAATTTATATGAACTTTGAAGGAATGCACTGAACTATGTAAGCCACAACTCAATAAACATGCTGCCAATTTCAATTGACTGAGCAAACAGTGAAATTAATGTTCAATCTCGGTTTTTAATTGGAGCGACAAATACGTAGTTGACGCGAGGCTATAACAAAATGTCGATTAAAAATTTGATGGCCTAATATTTGGCCAAATAATTATGGCAGCCATGATAAATGTTAATGGGCAGAGTGCCATAAAAATGACAACAAAAATTGGCACCAGTATTTCCGTTATTGGGAACTGAAAGTGGGTCTAATTAATGGGCCCAACGGCCATTGATTGGGTCCAAGCCAAAGCCACAACCACTGGCAAAGCCATTCTGTGGCTTTTATGCATTGGCGCATGAGTATTGATATTGGTAATTAATGCACAACTTCACCAAGGGCCTCCAAACATAATAAATACAATTATGTGGCAGCACGGGCAGGAGAAAGAGAAGGAGCAAGAGAAGGGGCAAGCGCAAGGGCAAGGGCAAGGGCAATTGTATAGGTGGAATCGGAACGGGAAGTGAGCGACGGAAATGCGCTGAATTGGTAACAGCGACAAAACAAATTAGAGCACAAACCTATTTTTCACATGCATAATATACATATATATACACACACACTCATATTTATAGGCATAGCTATGTATATTTGCATATGTCACATTGTCGACCACACCACGTGGCGTATGCGTAATTCGCAAATGTTTCACATGCAAGCGCGAATTCAATTTGTGCGCTCATTTAATTATTAATTTTAGCAGTGCATAAAGTACGCATCGGGCTATTAAAAGGCTTAAAATTTCATTTTCAATTTCCATCTGGAATGCAAATGAAAGCCAATTCCATCGGTGACACATTTGCCTTAATTCCAACTGTTCGAACGGCTTACAGGACGCGCTCGGCGTGCCACATGAATAAGCAAAACTGAAACGAACAAAA